AACCAGACCATGAGGCTAAAAACCTATCACTTGGACATCTGACAAACAAGACTCCTTGAGACGGGCTCAATACAGTACTATTTAGTACTTACTAGTGAACTCAGATACAAGGTACATATGAACTCAGATACATAGTCTCAGTTGGTTTATACATCCTTAGTGTCTGTCTGTGCGAAGCTTTTTGTGGCTTGGTGGGGAGCTGTGGATAAGAGATTCCTGTTGTCTTTAAAATAACACAGCAATAACACAAAGTAAAAATACCTGTTACCACTGTGCAAGAATGCCTACTAGTTCTAGTTCCCAAATAGCAAATCTCAACCACTCGGTAGTGGATAATCTGCCTGTTGTGTTTTACTCAAGCTCGAGGTGACCTGTGAATGCATGTGGACATTTGTCCCTTTTCTCTGTGTCAGCGAATACTGTTATCTTGTTTATCTGTGAAAGTGTGTTACTGCATAACACTTTTGAGCTGCAGTCACACAAAAAAGGTCCATATTGAAGAGCTCTAGTCTTCTGGTTATGTCTGAAGTGCCTTATTTTTTGCTTTTTAGTCATCTTCAGAACAATGTCCTAAACTGTTAGCTATACCTTCTGCAGTTTTGCTTTGCTTCCAGAGAGAGTCTTTAGTAGCTTTTTTAGTAAGTTCTTTCTATTTGGATTTTGAATTTTTAGGACTAAAAAGGGATCTTCTTTAGTTCTCACTGTGATTTAAATGTGTTCTACCAGACCCTTTCTCACTATGCTGGTGGCTGCTGTCACCATGTTTACTGTAACTGGGAGAAGCACTGCAATGATGCTTTCTCTACAACACAGAAGACATGGTGAAGATTGCTACAGTTGGAGCCATCTGAGCTGTCACTGGAGAGCCTGCCAGCCTTTGCTGGCTTTCGAAAGCAGAACTGAGATGCGGGGGTTTTTTGTTTGGTTGGGTTTGTTGTTTTTTTTTTTATTACCCTGAGAATATGGTGCGACAAGTAGGGACAGCAACAGAATTTCTTAAGATACAACATGTGAACCAATTTGAACTGGTATGTCATAGCAAGTTTTGTCTACCTGTTGAAAACTTTCTTGTAATATCTCTTCTCAGTGGATTTTTCTTCTGTTTGTTTGTTTTGTTGTTGTTGTACGATTCTTAGCATTTTCCCTTTTCTCTCTTGCTCTTTCCACACGCACCACCCCCTACACACCCCTCCCCACTCCAGCCTGAATAACCTTAGTCTGGTCAAACATTCCTTGTACTGAAACCATTTATCTTCCATAAATGAGGCCATACTTAAGTGACTTACGGAGAACAATATTCAAAGCAAGATTCTCAGGCTGACAGGGATAAGAGTTTGATAGTGCTGGGTAAAGCATGACAACTTCTGCCTAGTGAGACATAACCTACTTCCCTCTAGTTGTGAGCAAACCTGGAAATCTTTGTGGCAAGGTGGTTCTCCCAAGTCATGGATTTGGGATTGCTGTCACAGATGTTTCGTTTTTTTGGTGTTTTTTTTCCTCAGATCCCACAAGCTGCAGTGACCGATGTGAGGAATAAGATGCTATTCAGAATTTAAATACGGTGATTTAGGTATCAAAATTATTTTCTTGAGGCATTTTTTTCTCAGCAGGCATTAGTTTTACAATCAGGCTTCAGTCTCTATATTTTTGTTTAGGTTTTCTTCTTCAGAGAGGTGCATCTTCACAGGATCCATACTATCATGCTAAACCATCCTGAACTGTTAGCAGCAAAAGCTGTAAGGCTGCTATTTATGAGACTGGATTGGTGACCCTCTTGCTGAGATACAGATCATGAACTGCTTGTTGTTTTATTTCTGATGTTTTCTACTGTTTATTCAACGCAGAGGAAGGTTGACTGATATCATTCACTTAGTCAAATCTGTTTCAGCAACAGCATTGCTCCTGCTGTTTGGTTTGGGTTGGGTTTTTTTGTTTGGTTGGGGTTTTTTGTGTCTGTGTTTTCTTTGATCACAGATGCTAGATTAATTATTTACATATGTTTGAGTAGGAATAACTGATGCATGGTATCTAGTTATGATAGGTAATGTAAGCAGGAAACAGTCAAGTTGTTCCATTTTCCTTATTTCTTGAGATAAAGGTTAAATTATTAAGCAGTTGCTATAGAGTGCTTATTACTATCTTGTAATAGGAAAAATACATCAGCTTTGGTATCTGTAAAATCTTTGAATGCTTTGGAATACATTATCCTCCAGAAGTTCTCTTGTGTTTAGTGTGAGTGTGGGGCAAAACTGCCGTACTTCTAAAAGAGAAGATAATGCAAAAGGCTTAGTTTACAGCCTGTAACTCAGATTAGGTCAGTGTTAGAGCTAGGTTTAGATTCTCAAAATCTCTTTCCTTCCATATGAACTTAAGCCACTCCTTTTCTGCACTAACAGCTCTTTGAGTGAGTCAATAAAATGTCTATTGCCATTTGCTGTTAATACCTTCGCAGAGTACCCAAAGGTAAATAGTGCCAGACAGTGCTCTTAATTGTAAGTATTCATCCTGCTTATAGATAGAAGGTATCTGCTTAGTCAAATATTCACCTTTCTTTTGCTGAAGAAGACAACTTGTAGTATTTCCAGCACTTTTTAGAGTTCATGTTTTATAGGGTAACAAACTAACTTTCTTGGTCTGCATAATATTGGTTGTTGCCAACTCATATGTCAGAGCTTTAGTGAATGTACAAATTTTCTATATAAAAATGTTAAAACTTCACAGGATGACTTACGTTTTCTATTAAAAATGCTCAGGTATATGGGTCAGATGAAAAAACCAGTAGCTTCCTTATATGGAACTCTTCCAGCACCTGATGTGAACACCCCTACCCTTGTGAAAAATGTCAGGAGATTCTTAGTAGGTCTTAAGTACCAGGCTTTTGTGTGTGTTTGTTTTTACAAACCTTCAGCGGCATAAATCCCCTTCTTCTTTCAGTGCTGATATTTCAAAGTAAACATGGACTCAGCCCAATCCTTCTTGGCTGACTAAACCTGTCATACTGATCTTCCAGCCTCTCTGAAGGCTAGTACCTCTTCTTTATGTGTGAAAAGGATATGAGAGAGAAAATACTGTCTGAGAATGAAATTGGGTATATAGCTTAATCAGCATACCACACTAACAAATACTGTTTCAGGTAGAAGCTTTGGTGAAGTCTACACTGAGTCTGCATGGGAAGATTGACTTCCTGGTGAATAATGGAGGGGGCCAATTTGCAAGTCCTTCTGAAGCCATCCGTGCAAAAGGCTGGAATGCTGTGATAGACACAAATCTGACAGGGACATTCTACTGCTGCAAAGCAGGTAAGGACTGAACATTAACCGTTATTTGTTTATTTGTTTTGTTTTTTACAGCAATACCAGAAGATAAGAAATGTAAAGTTTCCCTGCCTTCTTTTTGCACACATTTATCTGACAGTGGATATTTGTTTTCGTGAATCTCATCCAAAGCTTTACATTAAACTGTACATTACATTTGTTCATATATACAAACATACATTTAGGCAAGTATGATCTGGTTAAGGCCAGTTTTGGGGAGTCAGCTTGGATACTCATTTAAAGGACTATAGAGAAACCACTTCTGTGGCCTGGATTCCCTGTGTGTAACGCAGGAAAAGATTTCTCTCCTGTCAGGAATATAAATTTAAAATTAAATTAAAGTCTGATACATGATTCTCAGCATTAAGAATGTGGAAATGAAGGTAATTTATGTGGAAGCATGAAATCGTGATTTCCACCTGGACCACACCTGTTAGCTCACCAATCCAATGGTGAGGCTATGGTACAAAGAGCAGATTGTTTATCTAAATCTGCACAGGAAATGTGTAGTGTAATTTGAGTTAAGACTCCAAAGTTGGCTTCTAGTTGGCAAGTTTATTTTTATGCATTTCTTCTGATATTTATAGGTTATCTTCCTCCTTCATACAGTGTACAATGCCTGGATGCAGGAACATGGAGGAGCCATTGTCAACATTACTGCTGCCGTGAGAAATGGGTTTCCTGGAATGTCGTAATACATATTTTATTTTATTTTTACATTTTCCTATATTTTTCCCCTAGAAATACTAATTGCTCCTAAATACTTCATTTTAGAAAGGTGTGCACTGGGCAGCAGGAGTATAGAAATACAGTAGTTAGGTCAAGAGAGAGCAAGAGTATCACTTGGCTGTATGTGTGGGGATCTCCTATTAATTAGTGTAGACACTACAGGAGCAAACAGCATCTCTGGTCTCTGTCAACTTGTTTGTAAGAAACAGTGAAGCAAGACTTGCCAGTGAAGCTTTCACTGGAAATGGTATGATGGTGGGAATAGTCGCACTGAAATGTAACCTTTGCTTGTTCTCCTTCCAAATTTCTGGAAGATTTACAAGAACTTTGCACCTGTTGTTTTCCTCTTCTACTGGCAGTTTACAGGTATTGATGGTGTAATGAGTTATGGCAGTTGGACTGGGAGTAGAGGAGAAGGAAGAACATCTCCAGCATGTTCAGGTTTTGACTTTGTCATTTGGGTCACGTAATGCCTGCCTTTCCCATTTCCCTTTTCACTCCCACTTTGTAGCCATCTTTCTTGGAAAAAGTCTTTGATGCAGAGAATTGGTTCTATTTGCTCTGCTCCTTTCTTGACTGGGAGAAGGCTCATGGGTACAAACATATTATTTGTGGTTCTTTTATACTGACACAAACGATCACAGCTGTCTGTGAAAATACAGCATCCTCTCCATATCTGTATGTTTACTATATTTGTTAAAATTTCTTTAGCCTCAAAATGGAGGTGAGCAGGAGTCTTCCAATTTGAAACTTTTCTGCCAAAAAAGTTCCAATTTGTTGAAAGAGAAATAATGCTCAGAAAATTAACTGTTTCAGTTATGTTCTTTTCAAGGGAAATTTTGAAGTTGTCAAAATGCCGCATTTTAGTGTTTCTTAATTGAAAAAAATCCGATTTTTTTTCTTTGAAAGGACTTTTTTTTAACTTTGAAATTGAATTTCTATTGAAGTAAATATAAAAATATAATTTGAGCAAATGTTACATTACCTCTCTCTGTCCTGATTCAGAGTTGAAAGTTTACAAAATTTCAAATTTTGAAGGAACAGCAGAGTATGTTCTCACTAGCTTGCTCTTGGCAATACAAAATTAAATGTAGAGATCCACAGGGTGGTGCTGAAGCTGCAGTTATTTGAGTTTCTCCACTCTGGTTAACTCTGGTTGAATTGTCACACTGAATAGGCTGAAGCTATATTTAAGAGTTGAACCAAGAGATAAAAAAAAACTAATTCTGAATAACAGTGGAAAAAAGTTTCCTGAATAACTGTTGTGTGCGGATGTAGATGAATAGACAAAACTA